CAATGTAATAGTTAATTTTACTCAACAGTTTTTTTTGTTTAGTAAATATAACACTGCATGTATTTTTTTCTTTCTCCTTTCCTACTCCTCATCTTCCCTGTCTACCTTGATACAGTGGCTGGACATGCAGCACATTAGACTTGCTTGAAAAGAGAGAGAGTATACTGGGAAAAAAATAAGTACTTTTACATTTAGCTTACTTCATATTAAATATATGCATTAAAATAAATACTACATATATTCTTGATAATTTGCTTTGCACATTTTCTTTGAATACTTTATAACCAGCATTCAAATCTATGTTTTTAACTAATTCTATTCTCTATTCTTTCAAATACATGACCTTCATCTTTTTTACCCTCCCTGTAATGCTGAAGTCATAATTTTGCCTCAGCTACTGCAAATCAAATGAAAAGGAAAATTCTAACTTAACTGACAATACAGCAGAAAAACCCAATACACAAAACTACAAAAGAAAGTACTACAATATGCTTGCTCTAAATTGTTGGATGAAGAAATTGAATGTTTTTCCGAGATTTCTTTAACCTAATTTTGGCTCATACAAGAACGATAATCTATTCTGGTTTTCTTAAGTCTACTATTGACATGCCAATTTGATCTAATGCACTACATTCCAAAATATTACCAAAGCATATCTTAAAGCAAGCAAAAGATGCTGCATTGAATTATTTTTTTTAATAGCAGCAATTGAAAACTGGAATATTTTTTGAGAAGAGGTCACTTCTTTAGAAGTGAAGTAATTTAGAAGTCCTCCCTTTAAAGTTTTTATACTGGAGTAACTTGTGGATTCTTCTTTAAAAAACTGTTCTACAAATCAAAATTACTTAAATTCATCTTGAATTTTTATTTTACCAAGCAGATTATACAGTAATAGTGTGCTAGAAGCATGTCATCTATACAGTGCTACAATATGGAAGGCAGTTTTAGCTATTACATATTGAGCCACCTGAAAGACACTTCTTTATCCAAGTTTCTACTAAATATAGTGTTATTCTAAAGAGAACAATCGGGGAGCTATTTTTAAAGATTTGCATCAGTGAATTACAGCCTCATTGGAAACAAAGCAGAAACCCCACAACAGGGGTACTTAAAGCATTTCCTCTGCAAGATCTATCATTCTAAGCAATTCATGCAAGACTGTAATTAAGCAGTCATGAAACCTTTTAATTGTCTAAACCATTTATGACTTCAAAAGATACACAAAATTAAAAGAAACACATCGTATCTAAATGCTTTCTGAAATAAACAGCAGAGGTCAGCTCTAAAAACAAACAGAACCTTTAAAGTAATTTTCTGGGTTTCTCAAAAAATTTACCTTTCACATCAAGCTTTAGAAGCTCCCATACTTCACTCTATGTCTTCAGTTTCAGGCATATGTTGCCAATATTTGATTACTGGTTAAGAGTGGCCAGTATATTTTTACAGGTACTCTTTGTTTTCACAATACTTTAGTTTCAAGCACACATTGTAGCTCTTTCACCCTTCTCTCTCTAAAAAGTGTAGTCTCTTCATGCCTGCCGCATATCAAATCTGTGTCGAATACAAAATACTTTAGAAGTATCTTTCACTACTCTTTCTATCAAAACTCAATGACAGGTCATTTGAGTAAAAAGATACTCAAAATCCACACTTTTCCCTAATTACAGCTATAGCTTTCTCACTTATTTATAATGACAATAACAGATCCAACTTTGCCTTATTTCAGCACGTGGTTTCAATTAGGTTTTCACTGTTAGATCTGTAAATCTTGACTGTGCCAGTAATTATTCTTCTAAAAGGTAAAAACTGCAGGTTTACTTAGTCCAACAGAATTTACACAGAAGAATTTATAAAATAAATTCCTTGTAATTTCTCAAAAAAAAAAAAAAAAAAAAAAAAATATTTAGCAATGAAAAAAAAAAAAAAAAAAAAAAGCCATGACATAAGGATCACAAGTCTGATCCTTTCTAGTGGACAAAACCACAAAATCTAAACTTTCAGTTCTAGTGCATGCTACTTTGCTGAAAGAGACTATCTACATTATCTAACATCCCTGATTAAAAAAGCACTATCTTGACACGACTATAATACATATGCTAAACTGTTAGCATAAATAAAATCAACATGTTGGTAAGTTTTAGACAAAGCTTATAATTAAAGATACGCTAATTTTTATCACTAGAATTACAAAGGCATAATTCAGTCAGTTAGTAAAGATTATAATTCATCAGAATGAAATGTCCTTTTTAAGGATAAATCCTCCCATAGTTACTTATCGGTTTTAAACCATATGAACAACCGGTTAAGTAAAGCCACTGAACATAACACATAACAAATAATCCCTTAACCATCCAACACTACCCAGAAGCACCTGAAATGAAGACTAAAAAAACCTCCAATAGTCATACAGCAGTAACTAGCTAAATTTTATTTTTGCTCAAGATTCATTGCTAAATAATTTTTATTATAAATTATAAATTTCTACTACATTATTTGAAATATGAAAAAATTGCTTATCTTCCTGAAATCCTGAAATCCGTACTCAGATAGCAACTCTGGAGTGAGGGCCAAATAAATTTTAGAACCTACAATTTTTAAAAGCAGATCATCCAAGTGTCATGTAAACAGCCCTGTTTGTGGTAACACATCACAGGAAAAGATAGAAAGCACTTCAAGATTATTCCTTAAATCTGCAGTTTCACCAGTTGCATACTTCTGTTTAACTTAGTGTTTAACTGTTATATTCAGAAAAATCTTTTGTAGAACATAACCACAACCCCCCTTTTCTTAGTTACAGATGGGTTAGGAAGATGGAAAATGAACTCCAGTAATTTTGGTAAAGACCAAAGATAATAATAAAATATCTGAGAAATTTTGGGCTTTACTAACACATAGTGCCAAACAAACACATATTGAAAAAATACTTTGTTTTCCCTCTGTAACCTTTTTTGTTTGGAAGGAGTCCTACAATCTTGCATTTAAAACACTATTTCTACCACCACAAAGGAGTCCTGCATGATGGTACAAAGAGGAAAAAGCACCAGAGCAGACAGTCACTCTGATTCCTTTGTGACAACACAAAAGAAAATAAACTTCTGAAAACTTTCTCAGACATAGCAACACTCTGTGTCCCCTACAAACTGCAGTGTTAACATAGTAATTACCAAAAGTAAGCCTCCACAGCTCTTTAGAAGCAGTGGTAATCTAAACTGGATAAAGTTGAATTTATTTATAAAAAATATCTGAAGAAAAGCAAGTTTTAAATTTAAGTATTTTTAAAAAATTAATATGAAAAATAATAAAATTTAAATACACATTTTTCAGAGAATTATGAACAAAGGATTAGAATGTAACAAACTCCATCCATGCAGGAGTTCAGTTTCTTGGCCTAATTATGAGGGCGATTTTTAAGAGAACCTGTTGGGTTTTGGCATGTAGTAAGTTTATTTTTGGCCCATCAAAATTACTACTAAAATCTTTTCCTGTAGAAAAAAAGACACAACAGAAATTTTCTATCATTAATTTTTAATCACAACTTAAATATACAGCTCCTCTTGGCATTATCTCATCTTATCCTGCACATCCTTCCATGTGGTATTTTTAACATTTCTAGAAAAACCTGGAATAAAACTAATTCACTACCTTTTTCACAGTAAAACACAGTACGTGTTTTACCAGGATCCCTTCTCACAAACAAAATGGTATTTCTGTGTCTTTTATTTCTTGTAAACTATAGGGCTTAAGAAAGTCCTTTATCTTGTCATGGGCAGATAAAAACCTGCTGCCACCAGTCCTCATCAGTGTAAGTGTGTGAGCAATTCCTGTAACACCCCCCTCTATTCCACAGTCTGGTTGTGAGCAGGACCTAAGATTCCCCAGCAGCAGTAGCTTGTCTATGTATGAGAGTCACACAGTTACTGATGAGCTTGTACAGGCACTCTGTCCCCAGTCTGGAAATACGACTACACTGGCATACAACTTCCAGATGTTACCAACTTCTATGGTAAATCACATGCTGTGGTTGATACTAACACCAGCAATTCTGAGTATGCACAAGGCATCTGTACCTGTGACACATCCTAATTATAAAGCTATGTGTTGCTTGCCTATATCACCAGTGATTCTGTCCTTTCTCATAACTCTGACTACCAGAAATAAACTAAAATACTTATTTTGGAGTACTCCTTCCAGTTAAAAGCAATATCTGACCTACAGTGAAGAACTTGTCTAGAAAAACCTCATTGAAGCATACAAGACCTAAATACAACACACTTTTAAAATCTGAACTTATAAGATCATTTTAATGAAATCTCTGTAGATTCAATTAAAATCCACATTCTCATTGATAAGGTCCACAATTCTTCTTTCAAGAATTGTGAACAGTTTTTACAGCTTTGCAAAGAGGCTACAATGTGAGCTATAACGTCAAAATCCACAGAAGTTGTGGTCAATGGTAGCTATTTAATAGCAGCTATTCTACAATTTAATTAGATTTCTGCACCTACTAAAACATCATTCAATGGTCTTTTTTTCATTTCTGTTTCAGATAAGAAACATGATTATCAAACCCTTTCATGATCTGGATTAATGGAGTAGCATTAATACCTTTTTAAAAACATAAATTCTTCATAATCCACATTTCAGCTCATAAAATCATTGATTATTTTAATTTAATTACTTTTAGGATGCTCATGCAGCTTTAATATCATTAAAAGGTTGGTTTATCTTTCTGACCTGCTCTAAAACATTGGCAATTCACCCTGATGAGAGCAAATTAATTCTCCTGTGTTAGAAAAACATATTATCTTATTTATTTAAAATATAAATGTTTTTGGCAGATCAGTAAGTGAATCAAGTCAGTATTTCTGATGTGTTGTTACCCATAAATAAGGGGAGGAAATTTATTGTGTTTTCAGAAAGTACATATTCTTCATTTTAATCACAACAAAGTGATAAAGATGGGACTTTAACTTCTCATAAGATCAGAGTTTCAAACCTACCTGACTAGATTTTCATTGTCTCCAGTGCCTTTGCAGGTAGCACATTCAGTCCTTAAATCCTCTGACTTGGGCTTCTTTTGCAGCACAGACTGTCGCTGCCTTCGTTCTCTGGGAATACGTTCCTGTCACAGCAGAAGGCAAAAAGAAAGGAATGGTGGGGAAAGGAGGAAAGGAAAGCAAATATTTTCAATTATGGCATGGAAAATAACAATTCAGCCCAAAGTTTAATTTTTTGTGAAACTGTTAAAAAAACAAACAAACAAAACATTATATTCCAACCTCAGGTTTTTCTTCCTCAGGCACAAAGCTTCGTTTTCGTCCTCTAGTTCTCTGGAAGAGAATACATTTAAAATTCAATGTTAGGTAACTGAATGATTTTGCTATTTATCTATTATTCCTTACAACAAAAACATATAGCAGGAAATTATTTAAAGCATTACATACAGAACCACTGCCAGGCAACCACACTAATCAGCATTAGGACAATAGCTTCATATACTAAATATAAATCTATAGAACTAGCCAAAAAGTAAATATAAACATTTGAGCATGTTAAGTGTTATTCCTAAATAAACTGCCACTAGAATTACAAATCTCAAAGACACTGCACAAACTTCCCAAAATTAGTAATTTGAAAATTGATATGAACAGTGTATTAAAATAAACTCACTGACCACTAAAATGTGGTCTATTTATAAGCCAAGTGATAAGATTAAAAATAAAATTAAAGAACTTTACCAAAACAGAAATGCAAAATAACTAACAGATTTTGAGGAGTAACAAGAATTAAAACTTTCAAACTGAAGCTTAATATAAAGTGTATATGGCAGATGCTCATAAAGCTGTAGCATATACCAACATACGACTGCTACACACCAGATGTTTCTGATGATTCTACACAAAAAAAATAGAATTTTTTTCCAAATTGCAGTGAGCCAATAAAGTAAAAAGACCAACAGTGTGAAGGACAAGGGGTATCCATGGCTGCAACAAAGAACACCAAAGGTTTACAAGCACCTTTTAAGTTCATACATACAACTTGCATGAGTTCAGTTGCCAAAATTTGTGTTTGAAACAGTAGCATTATTAACCTGCCTGTGTTATATAACTGCCACAAACTGACAATATCACTCTTTCCTTCTTGTTTAAAAAGGAAAGTATATTAGAAGGGGTGTGGAAGGAAATCAGAAATATCGGAGACTATTCCAGTAACTTGTCTGACACACAGACACTAGTAAGATAAATACATAAAAAAACATGAAAATTCTTGTTTTGCTGGGAGAAAAATCATCACATTAGGAAGGAATTTATCATATCATAAAGAAAATCACTGCCTTCTTTATGGTTTCCCAAAACTTTTTTTGAAGCAGCTGGTGTTCACTTCAGAAAAAGCAAAAAACAGCTCATCAAAAACATCTCAGACCAGTTTAGAAGCACAAGCAGTCACATCTCAGACCAGTTTAGAAGCACAAGCAGTCATAAATTCAATTCCAAATAAGCTAACAATACAATTCTTCTCCTGTTTGGGTCCTCTTTGAAGGTGATTTATACTAGCTTCAAATTAAAGATAGTTCTCTATTGTAAACTGTTTTACAGATTTAAATACTGCTACACTGCAAATAAACCTGCCACTTCAACACATCTAAACCTTTATATTAATGCAGATTTTGATCTGTGTACGTTAATAACATTCTTTTTGGGAAGAGTCTCCTTTTTTAGACAACTACTTAATGCTACTTAACACTAGTAGTAGCAATGAATGTAGTGGAATAGAAAGTGCTAGTCTATTTCATGGCTCTTTAGAATACTTTAATTGGCATTCTCTTTCTCACTTCCCTAAGGGTGATTTATTAAAAAATGTAAAACCTTATCTATTTAATACGTATCAGTATTTACTATACATTTACTAATTAAGGTGTTCTGAGTTCCACAAGCTACACAGTAGTGCCAAAATTTGGAAAAAAATATTTACTACATATAATGGAATTTATCAATGTAATATTAGAGGTATTAATGTAACATGGGCTGCATGTCAACTACAGGTACACAGTTCAAGGTCACTGCAAATTAAAACTAGACAAAAAAAGTTTGATCAGACACCGGCACACTAACTGCCAATTTTACTACTTTCAGCTTCTGGAATTAGTCCTGAGAACATTTACAAACTTTGACAATTTTAAGTTATGGAGGCCCTCCTGAATCCAGCTGTGTAAAGACTATAATGAAATAGGTAAAATGGTGCATGCCAATAAAGGCACTATTAGGGTCCTCACTCTTCATGTTTAAGCAGCAAGAGACAAAGAGTGCATGCCTTGCACCATCAGAGTAATGCTGTCTTGAAAACTGATAGATAATTTGGATATCTAGGTAATGATGACACTACTTTTGACTCTAAATAGAAAGTATTGCAAGTTACCATCTCCGTTTTAAGCAATAATGAAACACATTTAAACTTTAGCAAAATGAAGATACCAGCTTTATAAATAATTTAGTCACTTTTGCCAAGAAAATGCTAGTTTGCACCTGTCTGCTATAAAATGTGTGAGGTATATATATGACCAGGAATGTCACATTAAATTATACTTTCATTATGTTTTCATTAGCTTTCTAAATTTTCAAACATACTTGAGTTTGTTCAATAATCCCTAGAAAACAGACATTAGAATCAATATTTTTAGCACACATATTTGAAGGATATTTTATATGATTTTAAAATAGCAATTTTTAGGCCTTTTTTTCCAAATGGACCTCCATAGTTAAACATATTTTCAATGCTTCTGCTCAGATCATTTTACTATTGCAAGCATTCAACATGAAAAGTTAAGATCAAATTAACAACTGAAAATTGAATATTGTTTGATTTTCAGCAACAGCCCTCCAGTAACTTGATATTTTTAATTTTATATATGTTGTCACTAAAGTTACCTTACAGGTTAACAGAAAAGGATCAGGTAAATCTGGATTACTTTGTTCAACATTATTCATTGCTGTTTGCCTCGAAGTACTGTATTTTAAACTGCTTTGAATAATTTCTGTCATTAACAGGCTCAGAATGAAAGCATCAGAGATTATAAATATAAAATATTAGTGCTGCATGTACTTGCCATAATCAATTTAAGATTTGTTATTTAAAAGTAGCTAAAGGAACCTTGCTATTAAATGGCATATTACAACTGAGATAAACTTGTTCATATTTAATATTTATTATGTTAATCCAGCAAAATATGCCCATAAAGACTGATTTTCTTTTAAATCAGAATACCTGAAAATTCAGAGATAGCTACAAAGATAGCTTCAATTGAAGATTTCCCTATATCATAAAACGGAACAAGACAGTTTTGTGAAATTTGTTCCTGCATTTCTAAAGTGTTCAAACCGTAAATCAGGAAAGCAAAGTCATGTTATCAGCACTCAAGCAAAATCCCAATTAATGCCAGTGCTATCCCAGCAGCTTTTTTATTTTACTGAAGAAGGCAGAAATGCTGTAAAACTTCTACCATTTGGGATGGACAGCTCAGTCCAGGCCAAAACAAGAGCAAGGTGTGGATTAGAGAGATACAACCCACATGTGGCAACTGTGACAAGGTGATGCATTCTTCAGAACAAGAATGATAATTCAAAGAAAAGAACAATGTAAAGTGGTTCAAAATATGTACCTATAAAATTTTCTTTGTGTAGAAATAAAAGATTTCTGTGAAAAATTATTTCAAATGTAGACATTAAATGACTGCTGACTGGAAAGTCCTTGGTTGTGTCTCATCCTCTGGAATTCATTCAGTGAGCACCACAGTAAGGACAAAGTCTGCAGTGTGCTCAGACATCTTCCCTTACTAGCAACAGTAAGATTCCACCCATTGAGCTCTGGAGCCCACAGCATCAGAGTGGAATCACCATGCAGTTCTGTTTACTACACAGGCAGCTGAAGATTTAAAATTAGATGCCTATAGCTAAGGGCTGATTCTATATAAGCTTAACTGCCCCAAAAACTCAGACAAACATGCCAAGGTCATAGCAAGTGCAGACTATTTTTCATTTTAATCCCTTCACAATTATGGCAGTGAAATAATACAAATAAAGGAATGAATTGACACAAAAAACATTTGAACTAATAAATTTGACTCCTGATACACACAATATTTCTATTCCCTTCCCTTCTTAACCTTTTCTTCTCTACTGTATCCAAACCACTCCTCCCTACTTCCCTACCCTGAAGTTCTCCACATGTTCCTCAACTAAAGTGAGAACTTTTTCCATACTCAGACCTCATCCTTCCCATTCAGCTGCTCTAAAAAATACTTCAACACTTATTAACCTTAGGCATATATAGCACTCAATCAACTACTGCAATAATGGGTCTACTAAATGTTAAAGGTAATGCTGCTATAGCAGTAGGCAAGTAACTAAGTTATTTTCATTAGGAAATCAAGTTGAAAGCTGTAATTATTTGAAATAAACAGTCCAAAGACTTAGCTGCTGCGTCACAAAGAACATACTGAACTGAAAGAGAAAAATAGTACCTTATTTCATCAGCAATACATCCCAAAATAGTCTAAGCAGCCCAAGAAAGGTCAGTGAATTAAAATTAAAATGCCAGTTAAAAACAGAAGCATTTTTAAACAAGAATGAAACACTTTGATAAAAAAGTTAAAAATTCTAAAAGATAAAATAGATTAAATTCTTCTTGTTAGTTCTTTTTAGCAATACGTTTTGAGAAGACACATCTCATTAAACACACTGCTAATTAAACTCTTTAAAATCCTGTAAAATTGTGCTCCTTGGGTAAAGAAACTAAGCCATTTGATCCAGTGAAATCATTGAGGTGAAAACAAGCCACTTTTTCCAAGAATATATTACTAAAGGTTTAGCCTTCATGGCAATTTTAATGCTCTTCCTCTGAAAAGAGCAACACTCCAAATAAATGAAACCTAAAGATTAACAATGTCCTTTTTGCCTTTTACTTTATGGCTTACTATCTTAAGGAGGTTAGAGAACCATCCCACATTATTAAGGAGTACCCCACTTGATCTATTTCAGTTATTTTGTTAACTTCTGATTTTACATTCAGTAGTTGGAAAAGAGAAAATCCTACCTGTTGCCTATTGTTTTAAAAATTCACACAAAACATTACAAGAGGCCCTGGAGGGAAGCAGTGGTGGGCATCACATGTAAACAGCTATCAATTCTGGGAAGAAAGAGAAGTAGAAAAACACCCAACACTGGATTGTTCCTTTCTAGTCTAAATTGTAATGATCTATGTTGACAGTTATTACAATATCCCATAAAATACACATCATTTTATAATAAACAATGCAAGTAGTAAAACACAATTT